AAAAAAACAAACGCGATAAATGACGTTGCGTTTTATTGTTGAAATTACGAAATTGTTATTAAATTATCATTACTATTTCAAAGTAACCTTCTTAAGAAATAATATTTTAAATATAATGTAAATGCTATTAAATAAGTAATAGTGTTTAGAAAACCAATAAAACGTAATATACTTTCAAAATTTAAACAACACATGATGTAATTACAGTGGAATGTCGAAACGCAAGACATTAAATTGCATCAGCGTGCTTTTTTGACATAATTTTCGCATTAGGTAGTTGTCAAATGCATTTTTTTCCTTTAATTTTCACCATTTTCAAAAATTATTTTCTCGAATACTTTGTTGTTCGAGTAAGTAATTTGTTCTCCTAAAACTGAAAATTTGTGGAGGGGTTCCTTTTGACTAGGTCTATCTCCAAAATTATATATAAATTTCAAACAAACAGACGTTTCGGGCCCTTTACAGGTCCCATGGTCACGGTGAAAAAACAAATATACGCGATTTAAATCCGGAAAAATAGTTTCATTTCCTATATACATATTTCCTATATTTAAATATATTTAAGTATAATTTTAAAGCCGCTATGTTCAAACGTTTGTGTCAATATATGTATCACACACAGCTAAATTGAAATCAAATAATCTTAGATAACACTGATTAATATTTTAAAATGTTTTAGCCATTATATATTTTTCAGCTGTCATTAGTATTAGTGTGCGTAATAAAAATAAAATATTATTGGAGTAAAATTATTTACGTTACAATTAATATTTCTTACGAAATTTTGCTATATATCGTCTGTTTAAAGGTAAAACCACATAAGTGACATTTTCCACAAAAAGTCTTTAATTTATAATAAGCTATGGTAAGAAAATCACTATCTTTCTGCACGTGAAACTCAATAACAAAAAAGCTATAAACTTAATTAGAGTTTTATCTGCAGGAAGATGGTGAATTTCTTACAACTGGTACATAATTTGGAAATTTTTTGTGGAAAATGTCATTTATGTTATTTTACCTTTAAGCAGACGATACGCCAGTAATCTGCCAGTCAACCACGCCTACCGCCTAGTCTCAAACTAGGGAATTCCCTGTATTATGAGCATCTACCAGAACAACGGAGTTCCCTCAGAGGCACTTCCCAGACACCCACTCCAGAGCCAACTTAGAAAAGTTCATTTCCAAATTTGGTCCAACCGGAAATAAAGGAAAAATATAAAAATCGACCCCTGGACTTCCTCAACCAACACCCACGTTATAAACCGTTGAGCCACCGAGGTCGTTGTAAAAGCAATACGACTCTTGGCTCAACCAAGTATTAAAAGGAAACATAAAATTTCCACATCCATATCCATCTAATCCATTAGAACTCTAGCTTTCTAAACATTGAATTGTTATACTAATGTTGTTTTATAAGTGCAAAACCTTCATTGTTTTATACTTAAGTGGAATGGAATTTTACTTCTTTTATATTAATATCCTTGCATTTTCACTACTAAGCCTCATTAGAGTTAGGTGTAGTAGTCGATAAACTTCTTACTTTTCCCCATTTTGTCTTTCATTACCACTGTACTTGCATAAATATCGACACGGATATAATTCTCCTTTGAAATTAAAAAAAATCGGAAACTGTTGATTGTATTGGTTGTATCCATGGTTGTTCACCAAGGCAGGAGGCAAGACCCATGCCCAGTAATAGGACGTATAAATAGGTTGAATATTCATTTAACAGAAGCTTCACCATTTACTTTCAGCTGCAGGGCCCTCCGCCACTCCACCCTACATTCGCGGCATTCGTAACAGTGGAACCCACAGAGGCATCTACTGAGCAGCTGGATCCAGAGAACAGCCTACTCGGCACTGACGTCATGTTCCTTACTTCTTTCTTTGGTGAATATTTCACATGTTGTTTTCAACATAGGTACATCATACTGTTATAGCTTTTAAGTGGTTTTTAAAAACCAAATATATAGTAGTAGCAGTAGAGCTCCTTGTGAAAGAGTTTGTCCAAAGAAGTACTGCCACCTTACCTATTTCTGCCGTCAAGTAGTAACATGAGCATTACTGCGTTCCGATTTGGAAGGGTGAAGGTGCTGGTGAAATCACAGGCACGCGGGACATGTCAACTCATGTCTCAGGGTCATGGGCGCAGTGATTCAACCCCTAAGATCTTTGCGATTTAAAGCTCTGTGTCGGAGTGCAACTGTTATGGATAGGCGTGTCGTTTACAACCAGGCGCACGACTTGTTCGTCCCGTCCCTTAAATATCGGTAATATCAGACTCTTATGATGGGATTATTGTGCCTTTGTGCTACATCAATTTCATTACTTGTTTTGTTGCCTAAACAAAATATTATAATTCCAAACGGCGAACGGCAAGCAAGTGGAATTCCCTGCCTGCAGACTTGTTCCCCGAACGCTATAACTTGGGCCTTTTCAAGGCGAGAGTGAATAGGTACTATTTAAGTATGCATGCTACATCGTCGATCTCATCGACGCTTTCCATCAGGTGAGATGGAGGTCAAATGCTCACTTATTTGCTTATTAAAAAAAAAATATGATTGTTGAGCTCAAATTTGGGACGGGTTCATTCATACGTTATTAATGGTTTGCCTCCATGGAGCGACGAACTGAAAGATTCAGTGATAGCTTTTATCTGTTTCCGCCGCCGAGCAGTAATATGAGCTTTATTGCCTTCAGGTTTTGAAGGATATTGGTGCTGGTGAAATTATAGGCACGTGATAATTATCAACTTATATCTCAGGGTGACGGGCGCAGTAATAGTGTCCCTCAGATTTTTGCGATTGAAAGCTCTGAGTGGGCGTTGCAACTGTCATTGATAGGCGTGTCGTTTACCGCCAGGCGCACGACTTGTTCGTCCTGTCACTTGTTATCATAAAAAAAGCAATGTATGAAGTGAAATGTTCAAATTATCGAACACCATCGCATAGTCGCTTGGTTGTTTGATATTTCGGAATGTGTGCGCAGGTAATCATCATCATCATCATGGCGGCCCTTATCTTATCCATTCTTGGATGTTGGCTTTTTCCCTCTTTTTCCACTCTTGGCGATTTTGTGCCAGACTCATCCAGTCCCGATATCCACGTCGTCGGGTGTCGTCCATCCAGCGCAGCGGTGGCAGTCTGTCGCGCCCTCTGGTGTCCGCTCTGGGTCTCCACTCAAGTACTCGCCTTGTCAAGCGCCTCTCGTCCATTCTCGCCATGTATCCCGCCCACGCCCACCTTTTCTTCGCCACGACAGCCATCACGTCTTTAACTTTGGTCCTATTTCGGATCCAAGCGTTGCTTTTTGAGTCTCGCAGGGTAATTCCGAACATTGCTCTCTCCATGGCCCTCTGCGCAACTCGGAACTTCTCGGCGGACTTCTTGGGTAATACTCGATTTCATTCCATTTCTTGCTTTTCGTCGCCAATCTATATGACGCGGCGCGCGTAGGGTTTTACTGACGCTGAAGGTTTTCACTTTTTAGATAGGTAACGCTTCGATCGAATTGATAGAGCACTATCAGTTTTCACGAATCGTTACCTAAAAAGTGGAACTCTGTCGTGTTCGTTGTTTCTCGAACGCAAAAATCTGTATATTTTTAAGGTCAAAGTGAATAGTAATCGTAAATGACAAAAGACTTGTATTGTCTTACTTTAACATCCATAAGCCTAAAGCTAAAATGGTTACACTTTGTAATAAAATATTGTTTTGTAAACATGAAACTGCAAGAAAAAAACTAAGACTTGTTTATGTCAACGACACCATACATTAATACGTATTAAAAATTACAGATATGATTAATAACAAATGTCGGTATCACATACGTGTGTATAGTGTACTATCTAAGATCTAAGGTCATTTTCATAAATGTGTTTTCTATATTGCTTACTGGATTGTTGGATTTTGATATTAACCGTCTTCAAAAAAGAGGTTTTTTTGTTTGTTTATGTTACGCGATTACCCCTATATTTGTGAACCGGTTTCGGTGATGCTTTCTTTTGTTAGAATGGGGGTACCTCAATAGAGTTTCTTGCTCATTCTTCTCAGGGGAATCTGCCTTACGAATGAGCGGTAGAGTTTAACCAATGTGACGATTTCAAGTGTAATAATTCTTACCTATGAAATAAAGTATTTTTGAATTTGATTTTATTTTGAGTGGTGCTGTACGAGTTTGAAGAAAATAATCCGTCTGCAATGGTGGCTAATTAGGGAATTAATCGGGTTTATTATATTTCATCCACTTACCGTTAATAGATTTCAATAAAACTTGGCAAATAGATGTAATTTCACGAACTTTTGGTGTCGGTTTTTTTAGTATACTCTGTACTGAGATTACGGTGCTTAGTTTTGAATATCATATTTATAATTGTAATGAAGTGACGGCAATACTAGTGTTAATATTCTCTGGTGTTAGGTATAGAATAACGAATTACAAATTTGTATTCAACATGTCCACGTGTGTTGGTCATAGCAATAAACAAAATTTATCAAACAGGGTTATTAATGGCATAGAAGAACTGTTATGAGAGGTATGGTCGTAAGTTCATTATACCGGTGGTCTAGGTCATCAGCAGATGACTTTGTGTTTTCCTATACTTATTTCTTTACTAAGATGTGTCCTGTACACGGGACGTCCTAATACAACGTCCGGTTATATCCTATTGGTTTGTTCTTTTTACGCACCAGTAGATGCATTATACTTAACGGACCATACGTCCCACTTTGAGCGACACAGTCACGCGATTCAGCTTCGTGTGCGCTGTCCCAAAAATACTTAACAATGCCGCGCTATAAAACAGAACACACGTAACATTTTTTTTTAAATGGCGCGAAAGCAAAAATTGTATACAGCCAGCACACAAGACTACATAACATTAGTTTTTTTTTAATTTTTGATCATTAATGTTTTTAGTGAGTACTTATTTTTAAATTATGAAACATTTCGTAACTATCATAAACATTGTGTTTTATTTTTATAATCTCAGAACAGAGTACTAAAAAACCGATTACAAATGTCATTCATCCCCTAGTTTGCCACCCTTATACGTGGAATATCTTCTTGAAATTTAAATGGGACCACTACTAAGATACCCTCTTTCCAACAAAAATATAATAATCATCAAAATCGGTTCACAAACGCCGGAGTTATCGAGTAACTTACATAGTCGAATTGAGAACCTCCTCTTTTTTTGAAGTCGGTTAAAAACAATAATAAATTTACAGGCGTCCCGCTCTGAGGGAAAAAAATGGTATTTTTTTATACTCTACGCCAATGATTCGACACGAATTGATACGTTTCGCTTTGTTTCAGTCGCATTCCTGTTTAACTGGATCGGTTTCCTACTGCTGATGTGTTTCTGTCACACGGTAGCGAGCCGCTACGGCGCATTAGCCGGCTTTGGCCTGTCTCTGGCCAAATGGACTCTCATCGTTAAACATTCCACTGAACTCGCCTCACACGAGAATTCGTGGCTCTGGTGGCTCATAATGGCATTCGGTAACTATATAACATATTTATTAACTTTTAGCTACCGCTTAAATGTGTAATCTTAGGTACAACTGATAATTTATCATATAATTTAGTAGCAGCAGAGCTCCTTGTGAAAGTGTTCTTCCAATTAAGTACTGCCTCGGGCGCTCCACAGATCTTTGCTATTTAGCTCTGAGTGGAGTTGCAATTGCAATGGACAGACGTGTTGCTTACCACTAGGCTCACGACTGTTCGTCCCGTCAATTGGTATCATAATAAAAAATAATTACAACCTAAACACGAATTAAAGGCTAATTAGAGGAAGAGAGTTTAACGCACACTTCGCGGCGAGAAAACGTACGCTACAATTGCAAGCAATAATCGACATACAATTATCGTATCATAATGTTTACATATAAGCAAAAATAAAATCTCGTCTACGATTATGTCATGCATGTCATGAGATTAGCAAGTTACTTATTGCTTACTGCAACTGTTTAAACCATAGATTTTGTATATAGGTACCCATAGATTGGCAGTGCAAGTGAAAGAACGTTAAAGACGTATGTTAAAGCGAGATGGGTAGACGAGACCACTTCATTATACGCTAAGAGCCTGTATGAACCTAGGATCAGCTGATAACGAAACAAATTTCGTTTATTTTTGAAAAATAATTGGTTTTAAATTGTGTAATAGTGTTAAACGGGCGTTTATTAGTTATGGTAACGTGTTCAGTGCCCGGATGTAACTCATCTAGAAAGGAAAACTCGCAGAATTGTACATTTCACATGTAAGTAGTATTTAAATTTTTAGCTGTCTAAAAGCACTACCACAAAAGTTTTTTACATAAATATATCCGTAAAATTATACCACTCAAGTACATTAATAACCCAAATGTATACGAATTCAATTAAAAAATATATCAAATACGTGAATTTCTGAAATTCATCACCCCACTTTCATAGAGGTTGACGCAATCGATAATATGTTATCAAGATGTCATTAATTGAAAAAAAGAAAGGCAAAGGCGTGGCTTGCATACAGCCGAAATCATCTTCATACTTAATATTATTGAATCAGAAATTTCTGGTTTTAGTATTTTATATTTAATTAATATTGCATTAGTGCATTTTTTTTTGTGTACATTAAAACGAAAATTTCTTTTAATAGCGTAGTTGAGGCATCCATTTTTTTATGTTAATTATTGTTGTTGATTCAGATTTCCTCAAAACATTGAAGTACGACATAAATGGCTTATAATGCTAAAGAGAGAAGACTGGGTTCCCAAAAAGTTTTCAAAAATAAGCAGCAAACACTTTGACGAAAAATGGTTTTCCTTTAGAGGCAAGCAAAGAATAAAGCTACGGTCTGGTTCTGTACCCACATTATTCATGCCGGTATGTCTTACAATTAATGGATTTTTGTGTAGTACTACTCTCATCAACAACAAATCAGCGATTTGTTGTTGTTAGAGTTCTGTTCTGTTCCGAAATACGATACTCATATAGGATCACTTGTATGTCCATCTGTTGTGTTGAATCAATAATTAATTAGTTAATTAACGTCTCGGCGTTTTGCGATAAGACATTTTGGTGAATCCGACCAAGTGAAATGCCGGTGTAATATGTTAATCGATATTAAAGTTAAATCAGTGGATGGCGCAACACTATTTATCGTGCACACATGCACATTATACGCACACAGATGTGTTTTTGTTTTGGTCTCGCCTCCAATACTTCAGGGCCAATTTATGGATATACTAAATCTCTGGTTTAAACAGCAAAATAGATAGTATGAAGATTCTTGTTTACGAGGTAGGAAAAATCTCTAAGTGAACCACGGGAAGAAAGAATTGCCCATGGTCCACCTAGGTGGACATAAATGAATCACGGTAAAAAATAATTACCCGTGGTCGACTCACGTGAGCCAGACAGGTCCAAGGGCAAGAAACGGATTTCTCGATTTTAATAAACACATTCTCGTATGACATTTTTCCAGTTCATGCTAGTACCGAATAAATCGGTTTGAACGTGGTTTAAACTGTTTTGAGTGCGAGATTTGCCCTTAGAGTAGGGAAACTAAAGGACATGTTATGTTGACATATGTAAATCAGACGTTATACGTATATGATGCATTTCGACGTTGAAAACATAAACATGTTATTTGTATTTGTTTAACTCTTGCGTGCCGTCTTAAGCCAAAAGAGATAGCGTTACATTGGTCTGTGTCAAACACGGGAATCGAAAATACGTAACGTCATCTTAAATGCCAACCATGTCCATTTCGGGGTACATGAGGTACGTGATACGGTTGTCAAAGGGGAGTACATCAAATGTCAAAAAACAAATGTTTTTCCAAGTGTTTTATTGAATTATTTGCATGTATTGTAATAAAATGGACAAAAATATTGATAGTGAGAACAATTAAGTATTAATAAAAATTCGTCGCTGCATCATTACGGGATGTGGCATTTGAAAAAGCGAAGATCGGCCGAATGTAACATTGTACCGACACGTGTTATTTTTCTGTCTATAAATCACACAAAAGCCCAAATATCTCATGTGATTAGACATATTTAAGTAGTTTATTCATAAATCTTGCCAAATTTTGCTTTGGTTTCTTCAGATTTCCTTTTTTTTGTATATTTTGATGATTGTTGTTAACGATTATTTTGAGATAGTGTTGTTCTTGGAAGCGTACATATTATCTATATTCTGTTATTAAAATAATTCACTACGAGATTTTTATTATTTTATTATTATTATTTTTACTACTTCAAGTTTACCTACAAATCAAAAAAGAAAAAACAATGGTTGGAAATCATACCGCCGTATAATAGCGCCGAATATAAACATTGAATTAAAGACCATCTTCTTTTATTCGCTTCATTTTGAAGAGTCAACTTTTAACATAACTTTGAATGTAACTAGATTACATGATAATGCAATTCCATCATTAGGTTTATTCGTAAATAATTTTATATTTAATTTAGATTAAGCAAGACTCATTTACTAGGCATTCTCAGTTCCTGAAAACAAAATTATCCACTCGTTTCCAATTGACACTGACAACTCTAACTACTAAAAATTCTTATTTTATAAAGCCAGCAATACAAAGTCCATAGTGGTCTAACGTTGCCGGGTGAAAGCCAATACCAACGTATAGACAGCCTATTTGCCTTGCCATCGTTCGGTGTCACTCGCCTAGATGACAGAGTGAAGGCGAGCGCTAACGTGTATGCAGCTCGCTTGACGTGGCTTGTCAAAACTCGCAGGCCCTCGTGACTATTGTCTCACTTCGGAGAAGTGTCGATTATTCTGCACAAATCAAAGGCGCTCGACCAATAGTAGTCAATTGACATTGTAGAATCAGACATTTGCATGCTATTTAATATATGCGAAACATGTTTATACTAACACTGCTTCTTGTTACGTCTCTTGTTACATCTCCTGTTATACCATGTTTTAAGCAAATAAAACTTTGATGGTAATAATATTATTATTGATAATATTACTACTTTCATTTATTTCCAAAATTAAATGAAAGTATTAAAGATTCACTTAAATCAGTCACTGGTATTAATTCTATACCGATGCATAAATACAAACAAAGGTTACACTATTTGGAATCTGTTTAAAAATTTCTCTATGAAAAAATGAATCTTGAGGTTGGAAATGTGTAGGATTTATATTTCAAAGTTTTCTCTTTATTATACATATACTCTCAAACTACAAATATTATTTTTTTCTGTACAAATTGACTTTTCGTAATATTTGAGTATTTGTAAACGCAAAACAATAACTTCAAAATTTCATGTGACGTTGTAACCTAAAATATTCCCAAATGGAATATTGATCTACTATAATTAAATGTTTGCACGTCGATAATGACTTATCGATAGATTATGGTACGATACTAAAGAAATCCGCCATTTTTTCGTTCAATTTTTGTGTAGGCACGTTCATTCCGTAGTTAAGGCAGCTCCTTTCTTTTATTTTTTTCTATCCTCTAAGGATTTGCCATTCGAATTCAGTGATTACTACGATATTGTTTTGTTTAGACGGAGATGTTCTATAATCAATGTTACATGAAGAAACTTTTTTATTTTCATTCGAGTAATCATATCTTCGAGACGTGAAACTCTCAGTGTAACTGTAAATGGGCCTCGAATTTATCGCGTCAGAGATGAGGTACAGGTACTCAAATTTACCTACACATAAATACCCTTATCTATTTCTGCCGCCAAGCGTTAATGTAAGCATTACTGCGTTTCGGTTTTGAAGGGTAAGGGTGCTGGCGAAATTACAAGCTTATGGGACTTTCAAGTTATGTCTCAGGGTTACGGGCGCACTGATAGTCACCTCAGGTATTTGTGATTTGAAGCTCTGATTGGCACTGCAACTGTTATGGACAGGCATGTAACTTACCACCAAGTGTACGCCTTGCTCGTCCCATTACTTGGTATTATAAAATAATAATAATAACATTAATTTCTTTATGTGTACATAAGATCTACTTTATTATATTCTAGCAAAATTCGATATGAAATGTTTTATAACAAAACCAATATGATGGTATTAGAAAAAACATTTTTTCAATGCCCATTATTTAGGCTTGTTCTGCCCACGGTCTGTTCCCCTAATTGGAACCAATTCAAGAAGGCAATTAAATTACGTAGAAATAATAGTTACCTAGCCAATTATTATAAAGTTTACCAAGTACCTATGTATGATTTATGAATAAAGTAATTAAGTTTTTGAATCCTATTATGTATTTACTGCTAGATTGTAGGTAATGGTGGATGAAAAGAATGAAAATTTCCGATTCTGAACTTGAATCAACTCAAACTCGAATGTTTGCCATTTGTTCCTTGAAATCAATCAGTTTTATAATTAATTGATTAGGGGTAATTTTTATGTTATTTTAGGTGATTTGAAAATTCTATTGAACAAAATATGACTTCAAAATTTGTATTATTAATAGCCTAATCGAATTTCAGAAAAACATTGAACTTGTAGCAGAGGCGGCTCGCAAAATATTTTAGTGGGAATTCACTTGTCATACATATTTTAAATATACAACGAAACTCACATTATATTGTTCCATTTTAAACAATGCCACTAAACAACACTACGCTTCTTAACAACGATTAAATATGAATTTTTACAATACAACAAAATTCTATATTAAAATCGGCAACAGCGCGCGAAGGCGGAGTGCAGTCGTCGCTTCCGGCATGCACGGCACGGCAACGTTGTGCGGAGCGTCGCTCAAATCTCACTAATTTTCTCATACTAATCTTTTGTCTCACGTGTCGCGGCGTAAAGAAATTTCTCTTTCGTACTCATTGTATTCAGTACTGAACTTTGTAAACTCCAGGATTAGTAAAGCAATATTATAGAGAAAGATAAAAATCAAATTGCATGTTTGTCGTTCATTAATAATAATTTAAAAAAAACACTGTGCTTAATAATATAATATGAAAGTTTAATTAATAATTTTATTTTGGTGAGTTGGATAGGAGTGAGAGTTCACTGCACCGCTCCTTAGAACGAGCCGCCTCTGACTTGTAGTAATTACGAAAGAGTAAAGTGAAAACCCTAAAAATCGTATGATTTTAGTTGTTGAAATTTATTCTGCATCGAATTTGGCTAAAAATAGGTTGTGATAATTTCGCACATGCGAGAATAAGTTTCCCAGTCGTGCTAGCCCTTGACTGGACATTACTAACATCATAAACAACAACTTTTGTTCCATGACTTTTACAAAACATATTAAATTTATACGAAAAAGAAAGTTTTTGTTGTATTATCTGCAACTTTCTAGATCTGCATTTGGTAGTAAGTGCATACGTGCATTCAAGCGTTCTCCCCGACGACCCCCACTTTCTCTTGTTACCGCACAGAGTTATCACTGTTTAGAACGATATTTAAATAGATTTTCATTTTTGTATTAAAGTAAAATTTGATGAATTATTAAAAGTCATGTAACGAAAATTGTTGTTTATGCTGTTAGTGATATAATCATGCGAGGTTATTAGTATTTTACAAATAACTCTGTATATATTTTGATGTTCTACAGATTAAGTAAGATAAACAAATAAAAAACTATGTTTCAGGTATCCTAATTTGCGTTCGCGCCATCATCCAGTACCTGAACATCAAACGCGGCTGGCGTCTGCTCTCCGGCACGGCTCAGGAACGACTGCTTTTTTTCTATTAACTCATTGAATTAGTCTCACACTGTCACACGCGTTACTGCATCTTATGCATGGCTGTGCGATGAGGATAAATATGTTTACATAGGCTATATTAATGGAAAGGAATGTCTGTTTAGCTTTAAGGTTCTAATTTCCTTTAAGGTAAATCTAATATAATTGTTGATTTTTTATTTTTGAATTTTATTTTGTTTATGTAATGTAACGTGCGCTTCTTTTTATTATAATTTATGTTGGAATGAATGAACTGCATAGCATAATTATATCACTACATCGAATTGTAGCAAATGTATTATTAGTATTCTTCTGTATAGATAAAAGTTTTTGCAGCAAAAGGCTTTTTTATAAATTATTTTTAACAAATTGGTATGCAACTGGTAGATTTGCACATTGCCACTAATGTTATATACTTCTATTGCGAGAAAATATTTCTTTTAAACTAGGAATGAAACTATTTTTCCGGATTTAAATCGCGTATATTTGTTTTTTCAAACAAACCGACGTTTCGGGCCCTTTACAGGTCCCATGGTCACGGTTGCAGTCAACCTATATATAAAAAAATAGTTTCATTCCTATGTATAACAATCGCGAAAACCTAAGAACTCGATATTCTTTTAAACTACTTCATTATCTGTAAAAATTTTACAATATCGAGTTCCTAGGTTTTCGCGATTGTTGCATATTGGAAAAGAAACTATTTTATGGATCCAAAACGCCTATATTACTTTGTTTTTTCAAACAATCAAACGTATCGGGTCTTTTACAGGTCCGATGATTACAAATGACAGTACACTGGAATGGGCCCGCGAAATTGGTTTGTTTAAAAAAAATAATATACACGATTTAGATCCAAAAATTGTTTAATTTCGTATAGAATTCGATAATCCCAGTTATTAATTAAAGGTATCTTTGCATGAACACAGTCCTGCTGATACTTATTAAGGGACTTTTTTAAATTTAAAATGAGTGTCTTGTACGAACTCTGCCTGTATGTGTGGAATTCGCAACAATACCCAAAAGGGTATTTATTGTTTCAATAAACAAACATGAATTGCTGAAAATTAGTCTGAAATTGAAATTCATTTGCGATATCTCGACTAAATCTAGAGATATAAACGGTTAAAGATTGTGTTTGGGGGACGTTCCGTACCTTATTAGCAAAAATTCATTCGTATAAAGCTTGTATGGCGTCATTAAATTCGTGAGAAATATAATTTCTTTCTGGCTCCTGATATCTGAATGAATGTGACTTGTTTTATTTTTCAAGGAACTTCTGTGTTGTTTATTTATATGTAACCCTTATGAAACTATTTCATTTTACATACTTGTCAAATACCCTAATGTCGTAATATTATTGTTTTTCACTGCAGGATATTATTAAGATGAATTAATTCTATTGTTTTGAATGCTATACAGTGACGTTTTTCCCGTAAGTAATAAATGTTCATAATTACTTTGGTTGCAAAGAACAACATTGAAATACATTTTAACATGTAGTTACGTATTCGTGGTTAATGTAGCATAAGTAAGTATGGTAGACATTAAAAAAGACATGTTTTTTATTTATAAAATTCTATTCTTAAGAAGGAATACGCTGTGGTTGTTTCGAAAATTTAAGTAGTACTGTAAATTTTAACGCAACAACAGTTAATTAATTAAAGTTTTTTAATTACCTACACTTTATTAGTAACGTATTCTCCACATGACAGATCGGGCAACGTGTATAGTAATGAAACAGTTTTATGAAGTCAAGCAGTAGCAATGATCGCCCTGGGGGAGAGCGGGCATTTCTCAATTGAGAGAACGGTGGTTCAAATCCTTGGGATGCATGTACAGTTAACAACACATAAAGCGTATAACTTGATGTGCTGTTGACTGTACAATTGTAAATGTCTAGTATCAGATTAACGACGAAGGAAGACATTCTAATGAAACCTTTATGTCGAAGAAGTTTCACAACCTTTGGAAAACACGTGAAGTCCCCAACCTGCATTGATCCAGCTTGGTTGACTATGCCTTAAACTTTCTCTTTGGAGAAGATCTGTATCCATCTGTATAATGAATTGATGATGATAATGAAGGCAATCAATCATCTGTACGTATAAACAAAGCAGAAATGGATATAGCACGATTTATTGTAATCAGCGGTTCCATGCTATCTGATCAAATTGGTGGTATTCATTTCTCATGAAACAGCTGATGGGTCACGTGGTAACGGTCACGTGGTTTTCAGTTAAATATGCATAGCTTAATTTTGTTACATTTTTGTGACTGGTGCTGAATATAAAACTAATGAGTTATATGCCATCGATCGACACGTAACACCGGTGATCACAGGGACGAGCTCTAACTTGACACTTAAGATTTAAAATTCAACTCTATGCCGCTAAGATAAGAACGCCTAAAGTGTAATGGCGCCTTCAAACTAGACGCCTGTAGAAGCTGCAGCCGCGCCACCACTAATTTTCGTACAATATTTAGTTTGCAAAGACATAATAAAGAATAAAGTAAAAAATAAGTAAATTGGTTCTGGTTTAGGCGTCCTGGGTTGTGTCCCTGCAGCGCTTCTATAAGTGTTTATTTGAAGGCGCCCTAAAGTGTCAGGTTCGTGTCAACTCTTTGTACCGGTTATAATAAGTTAATTCTCATTGTAAGATCTAACTTAATTTTATCATTAAAATATATCATTAATATATATTGTATCTGCATAAAATACGGCTGCATCACCAATTTTTGTACCAAAAACGTTCTTTTGTTTTGATTTAACTTATTTAGTGCAATAATTTCTAGTTCTGAATTTATAGTGAAAATATAATTTGTAAAATAGGTTTATTTTTTTGTCTTAGTGGTAATAACACGACTAATTCTGTTGCAGGCATTTTTAATAGTAATTTCGCATGTCGAAAATAGTATTGTCCGTTAAGGTCCTAGGTTCAATTCGAAGCGAACTTTTATAAATTCGTTCTGGTTTAGGCGTCCTAGGTTGTGTCCCTGCATTTAATTTCTTTATTCCGGTACTCACAGTACAAGAAATTGAGACCAGGGAATTGGGATGATTTTCTCGTACAATAATTATTATTATCAATCTGACTATTAAGGCCCCCGTATACAGACGATTCCTCGTTTCAATCGATCGTCACAATAATCGTATCAATCCGTCGCGACTCCCCTGGTGTTCAAATTGATCGTTAACGAGATAAACATACACTATAGATTCGTCGTGTCGATCAGTCTGAAACGAACGGATAGTGAAGACAAATCGTTCCGTATGTGGGGGCGTTTAAGGATAGTCTACACCGTTAGCCACCAGATTGGTGGTGAAAAGGTGTATTTAAACAACTAATACAAGTTTGTTAGTTTCACAAAAACGATCTTGTTAGTTTAAAAACTATTTTTAAAGTCGCTTCGATAGCCTTACACAAGTTTTGACTATTAGGGTGCCTTCAAACTAGACGCTTGTAGAAGCGCTGCAGTGGCGCGTCTGTGGCGCTGCAGCCGCGCCACTAATTTTCATACAATATGTAGCCTGCAAAAATGGAGCATGTGGCGCTGCAACTGCATTTCTAAATATTTTATGAAAATTGGTACTGGTGCAGCGCCACCGTGGCACCACTGCAGCGCTTCTATAAGCGTCTAATTTGAAGGTGCGCTAACATTGGACAACAAAAAGAATTACGCTTATTTTTGACCTGCAGAAATACTTATGTAGATATGATGCAATAGAGTCGGCCATTATTAATATAAATGTATTAGTGTAAAGAAATTTTTTAAAGTAAAACCTTGTACATCAAAATAAAAAAGCTTCTAATGTTCGAAGAGCCCCATGCATTGAGAATCATTTGAAGTGGATAAAATTTTAAAAAACATCTTGTAAAAATCAAATTGGTTGGTCTAACATCAATGTGTGGACCCACGTATGTTAGATCATATCGTCTATCATATCATCAAAAATTTCATCAATATTTTATTGTGAAATCTTAGAAACGTAACTTAGCCTCCTTAAATACGATTCTCTATGTACGGAGCACCATTTACACATACCTGCAAAAAATTCTTATAACAACATTGTAGTCCTTTACCAGAAGTTTGACTAAACATAAGTAGTGTTATTAAATGTCTAGACAACATTTTGTGTAAATTTCTATATAGTTCTCTCGCTTTGTCATATTACAAAAGAAATAATAGTTCGAATAAATCTTTTCCTTGATATTTTAATAGGCATATGATGGTCATATGTTTAAAATCGCACTTGACTAAGTCGAGTTGAACATATAATTGTACGCATTTAGCTGGAGGTTTTATTTCTCTGTGAAAGATTAGAGATACAATCCCTTTTGCTACTTAGATTTGGCTTCTCATAATGAAGAACACAACAGAATTACTCACGTATCAATGTATATCTCTGCGGAATGGAATGGAAGCAAACAAGCTTTGTTTTAATGAAATAGTGCATAGAATAATGAACTTTGTGTCAATTGAGTAACGTACAAACTAAATACGAGCCAAATACACGTCGCGCGTTCTCGGGAATGCCCGCAACTAGCGACTCGTATTTATGTTCTGGCTATATTCAACATAGAATGTTTAATAACAAAACGTTGCTAGGCAACCAATGATGACATAGAAAAATATTTTTTTTTGACAGTGGACGTTATTTAGGCTAGTATCTCTGCTCATGGCCTGCTCGCATAATTATAAATGCTATTTGATTTACCGTTACAAAAAGTAGAACAGCAAAATTAGCAAATTTGTAATTTTAGTACTTAAAAATGGTGTACAGGGCGTACATTTTCAACATTTTTCATTAAAATGCTTATATCACAAAAACAAAATGACTACGATTTTTTAAATATTTTTTTCTCTGGGTTGTTACAAACTAGGCAACATCCTGTTCCCAGGATATCGTTGAGTTTTGGGATACCCTGTATATATATTTCATTTTATATGAATTTATTACATATCCAGGATCAATTTCTGATTCTGAACTTGAATTACTACTCGAACTCGAATGTTTGAAAGTCTCTCTTCAAATAAAAAAATCATTAGGGATGATACAGCTTTTATAAAGACTTAAGTTTTAAGTTCAAATCTCTTACTGATTTGAAACTTCTATTGAACATAAATTAATCACAGACATGACTTCAAGATTGGTATTATCAAAAGCCTAAGCCACACGGCGGTCCATAACAGTTGCACTGCGCCCGTCACCACCACCTTCACCAACACCTTTACACTTCCAAACTGGAACGCAGTAATGCTAACATTACTTGGCGGCAGAAATAGGTAAGGTGGCAGTATTTACCTGGACGAACTCTTTCACAAGGAGCTCTACTGCTACTAAATGTATTTGCACTGATATATACATACGAGTATTAAAATATCAATTTATACATAAGTGACAGTACATTAGTAGGAGCTCGAGAATATATTTATCTTCTTAGTACTACCGGTAGGAGTGTAAGGATTTAGTTACTATACCTAAACCGCTTTTAAACATTTTATATAGTCTATATATAGATCTCAAGTGCTTGCTCTTCTATAAATATTTTCCAAGTCCACAAACTCGTAGATAATTAAAATTAATACTAACATTATTATCGGTCAATTTCCCTTTCTACTAAAATACTCTAGAAGAAACCATTGCAATTTTCAACCCTGTTTCACAACAGTGGATCATTTTTTTTTTGCAAAGAATAAAATAAAATTTGTCGAAATAGAAATACAAATTAATCAAGACGAAGCTGAATCACAGTAATATAATGTTTTGTTAAGTTGATTTACTTTTTTTTACTTTGATTTTTTTGCATGTAGGCGGTGATCCGTTAACTTGTACGCGTAGACAATATCAACTTCCTGTTACAAAAACACCTACCTACTATAACATTGTACATAAAAATTATAAAAGTGCAGCTCCACTATGCAATATTGCATTCGAAATAAAATCTACAGCCAAAACCCTCCCAGTATTGTGCCAAGAGCCGTGCGGGGTTGACGTTAGGCACCATATTTATCATCACCACTTTCCCGCGTTTTCCCCATACTCCGCTGCAGTGGGGTCCGTTCAGAAACCAGTGTCCTTATGAAGAGAGGATTCTATGACCGATACTCAACCTTCTCGAAGCTCACGTGTCATCAAGACAATAATTTCTACAGAATATTAGGTAAGTATTTTCTAATTTATAAATATTACACAAGTTTCTATTGTTTTACGTTTAGTATGTTTTCTTACCTAGATGGTTATTTTTTAATTATAAACTAGGAGTTTAGAGTAGAGTTTTCCTGTGCGTTGCTGACCAGCATAATATAAGAGATGTTTCATAATAGAACCTGCGCTTATTTGGCAAACTTCCAACAAACGTAACCTTCAACTTGAGAGGAACCCAGCTCGTAACTTTAAAGCTTACGTACCCTTTACATATTTAACAAGAATTACGAATTATAGTATTGTTTATAATATTTAAGATTTTATTTTTGGTAATGTTGGTATTCTCCGTGGTTGTTGACGTTTACCCGGATATTTATTATTTGATTCCGGATAGTTATTAAAAATAACATAACACTTATTAGAAACTATCACGTAAAAAAATTACTTCATTTTCTCTTAGGTGTTTTGAGGAGATTGAGGAAAACGGAGCGAAAGCTTCTGGTGAAGAGCAACAACAAATCTAAACTTAAAACATCAAAATAAAACACCCGCTTTGAACATCGTTTATCCTGTAGGACCTAAAATTTATTTTAGGTCAATTTATTTATTAAATTTAATCATCTTTTGAAATCATCAATTAAATTTACTCGCTTTATACTGCCAACTTTTTGCCGACATTATACAGCATTGCGTAAAACTGCTAATCACTCTGGAGTATTATCTTGTACCTAATACAATAACATTAAGTTATGGGTTCGCCACAGAATAAAAAAAAAACTGTTTTATTCTGATTGTTTTATTCTTTAACCTAACCACCAGCGAGAAGTTCATACAATGATGTATAAGATGATTGTGCCCACGACAAACCCAATAAGCGTGCAAATTTACATGAAATTTACTCATTACGATGAACTTTTAAGGCACTTTTCAATGGTCTAATATACCTATACCTACAGGGCTTATGTAACTAAATCGTTTCGCTATTACACTCATAATAAATATTATATATTTCTTCAATATTCTCACCGTTACTAACCACTTCTTGACTATACTAGGGATTGGGTGCCTGTAGACTTGTATCACAAGCTCTGCTTAGTTTCTCTCCAGTCACTCCAGTCTCCCACAGTACATTAGGCACCCTAAGCTTATGTAATAATATATATCTCTAATGTAATATTCATTTGTTTTGTATTGTGGAGATAAATAAAGATATATTCCTTTATTTATTATCATAAATCTACCGTAATACTGCAATTAATTACACAACTCATTTTACGAAAATCCACGCACATAGGTTTTGTCTTAGATCTCTTGTATCATCAATTCCCATAATATTCATAACAAATTAGTTTTAGTTTTGAAATACGTAACAATTATATCCACTAAGACACAAAGAATGTGTTACTTGGAAATAGGCAACGATGCAATAATAGAAAGTAGTGAAGCCACAATGTAAATGACGTAAAATTGTTTTTTTACTACCAAGTACTAATATGTTAAAAGATATATTCTGTAGAAATGCACCCTAACTGCAGTCAGTTCCTCGAAAAATGACTGTCAAGTCGTTTATTATACAAATAAAAAATTCTTTGAAATACTACGAAAACATATGAAAAAAATTAACCCATTTATACGTCCCACTGATGGGCACGGGTCTCCTCTCAGGCGAGAGTTTAGCTCTTAGTCCGCCACGCTGGCCCATTGAGTGAGTTATTATTATTTTTATAACCGGTTATAAAAATAATAATAACGCACACACTCATAGCACTAGGGGAGACCCTGTATCGCCGTTGCCATGGACACACACAATATAGATATAGATAACCACAAATAGCACCCAAACTCACGAGATAAGTAAATGTAGGCCATAGGTACAAATATTTCCCCCGGCCCGAGAATAGAACCCGGGACCTGTGCGTGGCAGCCTGGCATGGTAACCGTTCGGCCAGAGAGCAATAAAGCAGCAGGTTAGAGAGTTCACACGATGCGAACCTTCTTCGAAGTGCAGGTTTCGTCACGATGATTTTACCGAAAAGCTCATGAATAAATTTCAAATTACATTTCGCACATAAATTCTGAAACTTAGAGGAGCGAGACAGGATTCGGACGAAGATTCGAACCCAGAGGCGGTAGGTCAATCCAAGCCATTAGACTACCACGGCTTTAAGAAAATTAAAGCTTAAATTTTATATGTTGCTCGATTTGACCGAAAGCTTATTTAAGAAATATTTGTTCACTCTGTCTACTGAAACGGTTACGGCGGTGTTAATATGTTAAGGCTGGGCACTGAAAATATAAGACAACTCCGTGATGGCGTCCCTATCAGCTAATCGGAAATTTAGATGTTTACATGATGGCTTAACATTATTTGAATATGTACGACTTGTATGTGTGCATGCCCGTCGCGCCACACATGCACATATTCTCGCGACGCACTCGAGTTGTTTAGCGCGGGTAGTCACACACGCATTTATAGACTTGACGCGGTCGCTCAGTATTTGAAAAATGACATCAACAGATGATGTGATCATTGTTGTATTTGTGGTGGTCTGAACAACTATTTCATAATCATACTCCATAATCAAGACACCACCATCGCAGCAAATACGGCTTGCCGCGGTCCGCGGTCCGCGGCAAGTAGGTAGGTACTGCATTTAACGAAGGTTATTTCAATATAGAACGAGAATACTGTGATGAACACGTTGATTTATTTATATTATGTTCACAACCTGTAGGTAGGTACACAACCATAGGTAGGTACAACTAAAATAATAATGTAACAACTCTACGCTACGAGTATAAAGTGTTGGAGCGTAGGCGTAAATACCCTAATAATATATAAATAGTAATAGTGTTGCCCTGATTGCTCTTATTATACGCGTACTATGGCTATACTGGTTATACTTAGAATTTACACGTGATTCATTATAATACTGAACTTCAATTAACATTTTCAATATCAACAATGCTAACCACGTAAAAAGGGCAATATCTTGGATTTGTCATGAACAGGTCCGGATTCGGAAGGAAATAATAGGACTTTTACTGACTCAAAATGTGATCTTAAATTTAAGAACCACGGTACGGTAACTCACAAAGCTTTATCTTGCGAATTCTTATACTTACATCGATGGTTACCATACTCAACAAGACAATTGTAAGAGATGACAAAAAGAGGAAAAGGAAGGCTGTAAACAAACAGTGAAATGATATTAAAAAAATTCATAGCACGTTCTTTGGTTTCATGAATATTGATGGTAGTGACGACGGATCGACCAGATGTAAGAATTCACTGTTCTGGAAAAGGGTATTCGAACAAAAGAGGACTTGACTTCCTGCCAGTAAGTGTTTTTCTTTAATATTTTATTACCCGTACTGAGGTGTCGTTGTCATGGATGAATTGAAGGCACAACTTGAGAAGCTCGCGGCTCAAAGCGAGTTACTATTTCAACAGAACACTGAGCTCAAAGTTAGACTAGCGGATGAACCTCCCCGCGCAGGCCCCTCCTCTTCTTCCTCAGAGGCTCAACAACCGTCACCCTTTCCAGCGACATATGGTGTTCGCCCCAAATTAGCCTCATTTTGGTTTGACCGCCCAGCCGGATGGTTTGCTCACATAGAAGCTCAGTTCGCTTTATCAGCGATTACTCAGGACGAAACCAAGTACAACTATGTGGTATCACAGATAGATTGTAGGTTATCAAGAGATGTGGAGGATTTAATTACTAATCCAGCCCCTCTCGGCCAGCGGTATAATTGGATTAAGGCTGAAATGATTAAGCGGTTTTCGGCCAGCGAAGCTCAACGAATCAGGCAGCTTATTTCTGGGGTAGAGCTCGGTGATAGGAAACCAAGCGTGTTTCTTAGACACTTGCGCTCCCTGCCTGGCAACTTAACTGACGAGACCATTTTAAGAGAACTATTTCTCCAGATACTCCCTAGGACGGTCCAGGCAATTTTGACAGCCCAGGCTGAGTTGAGCCTAGAAAAAATTGCTGAGCTGGCGGACAAAATTTTAGAAGTGACTCCCTCATCTACTGGGATTGTGTGCGCCACTGCGCCACCCGCGCCTTCTAACAATGAGTTGGTTCCCATCATTGCTCAATTACAGGCACGCAGTAAGCAAGTAGCGGCTTTGTCTACACGCCATTTGCGATCAAAAATCCAAAAAAAGATCCAGTTCTCGCCGATCTTGCCCTAGATCAAGGTCCGCGACGCCTCACGGCTTGTGCTGGTACCACCGTCGGTACCAGGGCAAAGCTGTCAAATGTGTCCGGCCGTGCTCCTGGTCAGATCCGATTCCGGAAAACCAAGGAAGCAGTCAGCGGTAATGGCGACAACTGACTGCAGCCAATTCACTGGTCGCCGCCTGTTTGTCACTGACAAGGTAACCAAATTTAAATTCTTGCTTGACACCGGTTCCGACCTTTCCTGTTTCCCTCGGAAACTTCTGTCGACTCAATGCAAAGTTAGTGTTAGTTAGTGCCGCCAATGGCACCGTATAAAAACTTATGGCAGTCGCACATTCTCATTAAATCTCGGTGTCTGTCGCGAATTCAGATGGAATTTCACTATTGCAGACGTCGAGACAGCTATCATTGGCTCCGATTTTCTGGCCTATTTCAATCTACTCCCGGACTGCCGCAACAAACTGTTACGAGATGGTTCTATCAGGCTTTCTGTTCCTGCCTCCATCTGTAACATAAGTCAACTCAGTGTTAAGGCTGTGGTTTCTAGACAATGAATTTGCACGCCTGCTTTTAGACTTCCCGGAAATTACCAAACCGCCTGGTCTTCCGAGAGTCGTCAAGCACAACACTCTGCATTACATCAAAACCACAGATGGCCCACCAGTTTCTTGCCGGCCCCGTCGTTTGGCCCCTCAAAAACTAGCAGACGCTAAAAAAGAAATTGAAGAGATGGTGCGCTCCGGTACTGCAAGGCCTTCAGATAGCCCGTGGTCGTCTCCGCTGCACTTGACCTTGAAAAAGGACAGCACCTGGCGCCCTTGCGGCGATTATCGCAGTCTGAATGCCAGGACCATTCCGGATCGTTACCCGGTGAGGCATATTCATGACTTTGCCAACAGCCTCAGCGGAGCCACCGTTTTCAGCACCCTTGACCTGGTAAATGCTTATCATCAAATGCCTGTGGCACAAGAGGACATTCCCAAGACAGCTATTACCACACCATTTGGCCTCTTCGAATTCCCATTCATGACCTTCGGTTTGAGGAATGCGGGTCAAACCTTTCAAAGGTTCATCAAAGAGGTCACACGGGGTTTGGATTTCTGTTTTCGTTATGTGGACGATATCCTCATTTTCTCTAAGGACGAGGCTCTCCACAAGGACCACCTGCGGACTCTTTTCCAGCGCCTTCATGACTATGGTGTTGTTATGAACCCTTCCAAGTGCAATTTTGGAGTAAGAGACGCCCGATTTTTGGGTTACGTTATAACTCCCGACGGCACTCGCCCTCCGCAAGAACGAATCCAAACCCTTCTGGATTTTCTTCCTCCCAAAACCGTACAGGGTATGCGCCGTTTTCTGGGCATGTTAAATTTTTATAGACGTTTTATTCCTCAGGCTGCTACTACATAAACTAAATTTCAGGCTTAATTGACGCTGTCGTCTCTACCAATGGCAAAGGCGCTAAACCATTCTCATGGACGCCGGAGCTTCTGGAGCATTTCGAAGCCTGTAAAGCCAGCCTATCTAGTGCCACGTTATTGCAACACCCGATCATGGATGCACCGCTTGGATTATTTACCGATGCATCAAGTGTCCATGTTGGTGCTTGCCTTCAGCAACAGGTGGACGGTGCCTGGAATTCCCTTGCTTTCTTCAGCAGGAAATTTACTCCTCGGCAAGCTCAGTGGCCTGCTTATTATCGGGAATTGCTGGCGGTGTACGAAAGCGTACAACATTTTCGCCACATTCTCGAAGCGCAACACGTGACTATATATACTGACCATAAACCACTGCTGTTCGCCTTCGTACAACATCGTGAAAAATTACCTCCACCGCAACTGAACCAGCTATCTTTTATTAGCCAATTTTCAACTGACATTCAATATGTTAGGGGTGAAGATAACGTCGTCGCGGACACTTTATCCCGCATCGAGGCAATTTCACTCGAAGACGATTTCGCCGCACTAGCTCAGTCTCAAATGTCTGACATAGAGTTGGCGAAAATGCAAGAAGAATCGGCCTTGAAATTGGAACAGATTGTGATCCCGGGCACCAACATCACTCTAATATGTGATACCTCAACTGGTCGCCCTCGATCTTACCTCACTTCGCCGTTCCATCGAGCAGCTTTCGACCGTTGCCATAACCTCAGCTACCCTGGTGCACGGGCATCTTTACGCTTGGTAGCATGTCGCTACGTATGACCTAACATCAACAAAGATTGTCGCGTGTGGGCACGTTGCTGCGTTCAGTGCCAGAGAAGCAAGGTATCACGGCATGTTAAATCACCTGTTGGTCGATTTGATCAACCTACCAGTCGATTCCGTCATCTGCACATCGACATCATCGGTCCACTTCCATGTTCTAAGGGTTTCAGTTATTGTTTGACCGCCATAGACCGTCACACACGGTGGCCGGAGGCTTGGCTGATGGTGACGATAACTGCAGAAGAAGTTTCCGACAAATTAGTGTCAGGATGGATAGCCCGTTTCGGTGCTCCTAGCATCGTCACCACCGATCAGGAGCGTCAATTTGAGTCGGTGCTATTTCGGCGACTCATGGATTTCTGCGGAGCGAAAAGAATCCGTACCACCAGTTACCATCCTTGCGCCAATGGCATGGTGGAACGCCTCCATCGTCAGCTCAAGGCAGCTCTCATGTGCCACGCTGATACGTGGACGAGAGCGTTGCCTCTGGTGCTTCTCGGCATGCGGACAGCTTTTAAGGAGGACATTAATGCGTCGTCAGCGAAACTCGTTTTCGGCAAGACCGTCCGCCTTCCTGGCAAGTTCATTGTTGCTCCCCCTAAACTAATCAGCCCCGCAGATACATCTGATTTAATAACGCAATTGAGACATGCGATGGCGTCGATTCGGCCGGTTCCTGCATCTCACCATGACAGGCCTTCGTCTTTTATATTTAAGGATTTGGCGACGGCCACTTACGTATTTCTTCGGGACGACACGTCTCGAAGATCGTTGCAACCGCCGTACTCCCGACCTCACCGCGTCCTCGATAAAAGGGACAAGAAAATTTCGCTTGACGTCGGCGGAAGGACAGTTTTAATTACGTAAATGGTCATGTCAGCGATTGCAAATTGTTTGCCCGGTTTGATATAAAAATCTTGTAAAAACCACGAAACATAATTATATCACCATTCACGAAGTTCACGAGGCCGTTTTATTGTTAGTTAGGGGCGCGATAAATTCCCCAAAAGAGAATACAATAACTATATTTTCTCAGAATTGAAGAAGTGGAAAACGTAAGTTATTAAGTATGCAAATAATTAGTAATTATTCGTCATTGTCATCATCAGCCTATTAATTTCAAGTTCCAGTGGGGAAGTGTTGAAGCACCTGCCTCCCCTCAGACGTGGGGTTTAAGGTACAATTCTTCAGTGTGGGTTGATGGATTTTACATGCCTTTGCAATTGCATGCAAGCACTTGTGATGTTTTCTGATACCACCAGAGCAGTCCAATCTAAACTCAGATTGTCTGTTAAAAAGTATATCAGAAAACTCAGTATTAGATACCCAGACAGATCTGTCTATCTACCTATAGATGTAATACAATAATTATAAACAATACAAACTCAAAATTAAAACAATGAAGATGATGATGAAGGATGAAAAACGGCCTATAGTCTTCTCAGATAGCCAGTATGCTATTGCTATAGCCACAAATCCAGTACATCACCAGCATACAAAACACGTTGATATTCGGTATCATTTTGTACGGGAATCTGTTGTTAGGCATCATTCGGTTGTAGTATCGCGAAAGTGAAAAGGTGGTTGCGGATGCTTTAACCAAACCTCTCTCTAAGGGTAAGTTTGAGTGGTGTGTGTGATTAGTATGGGATTGAGTGTGTGAATACAATTGGGTGTGAATGGGTAAGTATGTGAGGAGTGTTGAAGCAAATAGTTTGTATTCTTTGATACTATAATCTCATTATATAGACACAAAGGTTTTTATTTTATGTTTTAACTCATTCTTGAGATGTCACTCTTGTCAATCAATTCATGTTCCATGTCTGTGAATAAATACGTTGTTTACTTTAAACGTAAGTCTGTGCTTTCTATTATGTATCTATATTATTATATTATTATATTATTATATTATTATATTATTATATTATTATATTATTATATTATTATATTATTATATTATATTATGCACCCGAGTATAACATATTCTTTACAAACCTAACAAAAGAATTAAATAATGGGCAACTTGGCCAGTGTAATAATAGTAAATAAGCACTTGGTCCTGGAGATGTGGTAAGGTACGTAGTATAGCAGACACCAAATCATGTATAAGGTTTGCTATTTAAATATGAATAAATGTAAACATTTTAGACAACATTACATATGTTACTCTGATGCTAAAGTAAATAAGTAAAGCACTTGTGTTACGAAAATTTTAAATATAGACAGACACAAACGTCACGCAGCACCACAACACACAGGACAATGAAACAACAAGACAATAGAAATACTAATTTTCCATATTGACCCAGCTGGGGACCGAATACAGGACCTTTGAGATGGCAACATCGTCACGGTCACAAATTACACAGATATAGTGCTTTGTCTTTAAAATTTGTGATTTACAAATATAGATTTTACAATTTGGTACGGTTATAGTGACATTTCAATGACGTTTGGGATGGGATTTGAAATTTCTAGAGACGTAATGTTACGAAACCGAGAGTAAAAAAATCGATTAAATATATATGATCGATATAATCTTTAACGACGAAAGAATCAATTCATTGACGATAACGTAGGACTAACCAATTAATGATATCATTATTATGTTATTATGATACAAAAAAAAAACGAGCACAACACCAAAAGTCAATAACCAAACGTAAAGCCAACAAAATAATAATCAATCTCCTTTTATATCGATATCTTACGAGCTTACAATTTATTTTATTATCTCGTTGGGGTCGCGAGTTGTTCGACATGGGTCTTTTGTTCCATGTGCTCCATGAACGATTGGACTGCCCGGACTTAGTACGTACCTACGACAAATATACCTACGCGTACCTGCGCGACGTACTAGACACACTTCTCTGTTTCATATGCCATTTCATCATTTCACTCCACAAAGTATGTCATGAACTCGTTAGTCACAACATCAGTCAGGAGGTATAAGTAATAATCATTTTAATGAAATAGATCCATTTGTAGAAGAAAAATATTCATTTGAATCGATAATACTCCAAATTATTAAACGAATTCTATTTAATATTATCATATTTATTATTTATATGACATAATAGGATAATTTATATGTTACAAGTCCCGTCAAACTTAATGTACCTGAACTCGGTTTATTATTTATGTAATGTGCTTTACAACGCGATAATCTTGGCTAATGTTACTAAGTGTTGTTTTGTAATTATTACGAAAACAATTTAATAATAATAATAATAATAATAATTTATTTAATTTAAGCCTTTTACAAGTAATGGTGTATTATAACTAAATAAGAGCTATTTTACCATGTTTGGCTTGTTAGTAATTGACTCAAGGTTATCTGTCCCCTGACTTTCAAACTAGGCTAACCTGTGTTATGAAAAACAGTGGTTCGGTTATTTAACAAGTTTACAAGCATATTATGGGGCAGTATAGAGAATATTACAGAAAGGAAAAAAAAACAAACAAAAGACTTAAGGTTAATGATTAATAATTACATAATGGATGCAATAAGGTGAATGTGAGAGAGTAAAAATGCGTGTGTACATGCGTTGGGAGTGTGTGTGTGAGAGTGCGCGCGTGCGCGCATTTGTGTGTGCGTGCGTGCGTGCGTGCGTGCGTGTGTGTGTGTGTGTGTGTGTGTGTGTGTGTGTGTGTGTGTGTGTG